CATTTTGCCTATCAATATTCTGAATTTTTGTTGATATTTCTGATATCTTAATGCGTAGATTTTTATTAATATTAGCTGAAAAAGAAATAATCTGACCCCGAAGATAAGCTTTTAATGTTTCCCATAGTAATGAGGGAGAAATTGTATCGCTCTTATTGAACCTTAGAAAGTCATCAATTGATGATAAGATGAATTTATTAAATGGCTCATCTGATAACAGGAGAGTATTAAATCTCCAACGAGGACTAGAATTGGGTTTGTTTATAAAATTTATATCAATGCTTAGAGGAGAATGGTCTGAAATAACAATCGGATAGTATTCAGAAGACGTGACTCTCTGCATTAAAGAGCTATCAACAAAAAAATAATCTATACGGGAATAGGATTGGTGTATTTGAGAGTAAAAAGAATAGGTCCTTGTTAGTGGATTCCGTGTCCTCCATGGATCTACATATCCATTTTGGGACACAAAATCCAAAATAGATTTAGACATATTAGACTGTGTATAGGACCGAGATGAGGAGCGATCTAATGATGGATTCATTACACAATTCAGGTCTCCAGCTAGAATTAACAAATGAGTATCAAGATATGGAAGTGTGCTAACTAGATTGTTTATAAAATCTGGTTTATCAAAGTTTGGTGCATAAATGTTTACTAATAAAACAGGAGTGTGGAACAAGGAGCCTGCAATTATAAGAAATCTGCCATTTATATCCTTCATTATTCTTGATGCTGTAAAATGAATATTCTTATTAAATATTATGGCAACTCCTCTAGCTTTTGAGTTGAAGCTCGAATGATAAATCTCCCCAATCCATGGATATTTGAGCCTGACTTGATTTGAATTTTGCAAATGTGTTTCCTGTAGGAATATTATGTCTGGGTTCAGGCGTTTCATATGAGAAAATATTTTAGACCGTTTCACTGGATTGTTCAGACCTTTAACATTCCAACTTAGGAATCTAACAGCAGGTGTTGAGGAAACCTTTAAATCACCAGACATGTGACTTGACAGGGATCAAAAATATTGCCATCCCTCCCAA